ATAATCCACATTTTAGGCCTGAAAATCCCTTCAAACCCTCAAATATTACCGTATTTTGCGGTCCATAAGACGCACCGGACCATAGGACGCAGGGAGGAGCATTCGACAGACCGTAGCTTCTGTCACAGCTTCAATGACAGAATAACTAGCATACCCAAAATTGACCATAGGCGACGCTTTAAAAGCTTTTACAGCTCATCAGTTTAGTGTCATCAGTGATTGATGGCCCTAAAATTATTGCTCCGCCCTCATCCTGAAAAAAAGCTCCGTCCCGCTGAAACCACACCCCTAGCTCGGTAACAAAGCTGTGTGGGGAGGAGGAAGGGAGGAGCCTCCCTGTCCACACTGGTTTTTTTTTTTTCTTGATTGGACCGATGGCGCTTTGTCATTGGTCCAAGCCATCCACAGAGCTCACGCCTCTAACACAGAGAGAGGCTGTGACAGCTCTTGCCTCACCAAGTTAGGTTACACAAAGCAGTGGGGAAGCCCGCTGCCGTGTAACCTAACTTAGCTGTCAAAAGCAGGATGTAGCGCCGCCTGTAATTAACAAGCAGCGCTCCATCCATGACAGGTCACACGGCGGGGAGGCTTTCCATGACAGGTCACACGGCGGGGAGGCTTTCCATGACAGGTTACACGGCGGGGAGGCTTTCCATGACAGGTTACACGGCGGGGAGGCTTTCCATGACAGGTTACACGGCGGGGAGGCTTTCCATGACAGGTTACACGGCGGGGAGGCTTTCCATGACAGGTTACACGGCGGGGAGGCTTTCCATGACAGGTTACACGGCGGGGAGGCTTTCCATGACAGGTTACACGGCGGGGAGGCTTTCCATGACTGGTTACACGGCGGGGAGGCTTTCCATGACAGGTTACACGGCGGGGAGGCTTTCCATGACAGGTTACACGGCGGGGAGGGGAGGATTTCCCTGCTGTGTAACCTGTAACAAGCCGATCTGAATGGAGAGAAAGCCGTCAGCTTCAGACTTGAAGCTGACAGCTTTTTCCTCCATAGTTCTAGGTGAGGCTCCGCCTCCCCTCCCTCCCTCCCCTGACCGTACGTCCCTGGTGTGGAGTTATGTCACCAACCAGGTAAAAATAAAGTGAAAAAAGCCTGAAAAAGGAAAACTAATGCGGCCACCACGCACCTGGAACGCATGACATTTCGGTTTTTGGGTTTAGATTCGCTTTACAGCCCAAACGTTGCTGCATTTTGAATAGACCTAAATGGCTTACCTGCATCTGCATGGCATCACGGACCTTGGGCGGCACGTGAATGTCTTTAATCTCATAGCGCAGGCATTTGATCCCCCAGTAGTCGGAGGCCTGGTTTATGGCGTCCACGATGTTGGCGTTCAGAGATTCTCTCTCCTGAAAAATAAGACGTTCAATGCAAAAAGATTTCACGGAGGGGACTGTGTGCAGGACGTCAAACGCGCGTTTTATTTATTATATGGCACCAAAAATGTACACCGCACTTTACATACTGTACAGTCACACCAGTCCCCGCCCACGAGGAGCTTATAATCGCCTCATTCTCCCCATGTATACACACACATACCAGGGGCAATGTAGACAGGAGCCAATGCACCTACCAGCATGTTTTGGGAGCGTAGGAGCGAAACCTATGTAAGCAGAGAGAACATGCACACCCCATGCAGTCCTGGTCAACATGGGAGGAAAGATGGCACCTTAGGACTGGGTCTTCAGCAGCGGGTTGCCACTGAGCAACACCCCTCTATCTAATGGAGAGGGGGAATTTTGAGAGGGGGGAAGTGTTTGTAGTCTAAATCAGGACAGCAGCAGTGCTCCTCCACGTAAGCAGAGAGAACATGCAAACCCCATGCAGTCCTGGTGAGCATGGGAGGAGGAAAAAACTCACGTAGGCAGAGAGAACATGCAAACCTCATGCAGTCCTGCTCAGCATGGGAGGAAACCCACGTAGGCGGAGAGAACATGCAAACCTCATGCAGTCCTGGTGAGCATGGGAGGAGGAAACTCACGTAGGCAGAGAGAACATGCAAACCTCATGCATTCCTGCTCAGCATGGGAGGAAACCCACGTAGGCAGAGAGAACATGCAAACCCCATGCAGTCCTGGTCAGCATGGGAGGAAACCCACGTAGGCAGAGAGAACATGCAAACCCCATGCAGTCCTGGTCAGCATGGGAGGAAACCCACGTAGGCAGAGAGAACATGCAAACCCCATGCAGTCCTGGTCAGCATGGGAGGAAACCCACGTAGGCAGAGAGAACATGCAAATTGAGCAGAGCGCGGGGAACGCGTATACTCACCCGAAACACCTTGTCCAGCGTCAGTTTGCCCAGCTCAGATCGCATGGTGGTCTGCGCCAACTGTGTAACTGCGTACTCGGGGTCCTCCACCCCGTAACTGGCCTGTGGGCAGAGAGAAGAAGAAGGGTGAGGACTTATAGGATGGTCCTCGTCAATACAAACTATAAAGCTGAACTCCGGGATCACTGTCCTCATACAAGTGTCATGTGTGAGCTTTGTGTATTTCTTCCAGTCACTGCTGCGCTCTGTCCTTCTGCAGGGTGACTGATCTTGTCTCCACCCCTTCTATAATAAAGATCGGTCACTGCTACTCTCTCCTTGTGCAGGGTGATTGGTCTCGTCTCCGCCCCCTCCTGTAATAAAGACCGGTCACTGCTACTCTCTCCTTGTGCAGGACGACTGGTCTTGTCTCCACCCCCTTCTATAATAAAGATCGGTCACTGCTGCTCTTTCTTCCTGTGCAGGATGACTGGTCTTGTCTCCGCCCCCTCCTATAATAAAGACCGGTCACTGCAGCTCTCTCTCCTTGTGCAGGATGACTAGCCTTGTTTCTGCCCCCTCCTGTAGCTTTCTGTAGTGGGTGGAGCCTGCTGGGTAACATGAAAACATTGTAACTTTGTTAGTAGAAACATCTTTCCAAATTACATAATTGTCTAAAGCAGGGGGTAGTAAATTAAAATTCAAGGAGGTCCAGCGAGTAAAATTTTCATCGAGCCAAGGTCCGAGTCATGGTCCAGACAGAAGGGTACCAGAGTCCGCGCTGGGTTATGGCCATTGCTCCGAGATCAGGTGAAGACCTTACCTTGTAGGGGTCCAGAATGCGCAGGTACAGGACGCCGTCTATCTGTAAAGAGACGTTATCTGCAAACAACAAGAAACCAAATCACAATCTGTAGAATGACAAGACTATTTATTATAATAAAACAGAGAAACTTTATTGAGTGTTGTGGGAGCCGTGCACAACACAGGCAGGTGGGCGATGGCTTTACAGGCCTCAGTCACACGAGAAAAGGCCGACACGTACAGATCTGTGCTGGCAGCTCCCGGGAAGGACAGGTGCTGCGTGTGATTAGTACGCAGCCCCCGTCCTTCTCTACGGGAGTACGCTGCCGTACGCTCACCCGCCCTGCATGGATCCTGTCTGCGTCCAAGCCGAGACACCCGCACCTGTATGGACCTGCACTTGGGGTGAGCATAGGGCGGCGTACGGCCGCGTCCTCCCATAGAGAAAGACAGGGGCTGCGTACTAATCACATGCAGCACCTGTCCTTCCCGGGAACGGCCTGATACTGCCGTGCACGCAGCACGAAGCTGTACGTGCCGGGCGATTCTAGTGTGAATGAGGCCTAAAAGTACATTCAGGCCAAACAGAACAATTATTGGAAGAACTCTGTACAGGAAGTGCATTCCCAGAAATCCGGGCGCTCGAAAATGCAAATTCTGTTGAGAAAGCTGAAGGCCGACCCCCTCTACAAGCCCACATTGGCTCTTTAAAGGAACAGGCAGCGCCAATGTCCAATGGCGAGCAGAGGGAAAGCCCAGAACTCAGCAGTTTCTAGTTCAGGGGTAGGGAACCTCAGCATTCTAGCTGTGATGAAACTACAAGCCCCATCAGGCATTGCACAACTGACAGCCACAGGCATGACTCCCAGAGGCAGAGGCACGATGAGATTTGGGAGCTGGAGGTTTGCCTACCCCTATTCTAGTCATTATGGATGGGAGACAATCTCATGTGCTCAGTCACACTGCAGTCCTTGATCACCCCGAACACTCACCCAACGATACGGCAGACTGCTCTGGCACGTTGATGACTATCTCCTTCAGACTCTGCACATAGCGGATTCGGTCGAGAATCGGAATGAGGAAGTTCAAACCCTGCGAGAGAGGAAGGGAGACAATCTGAGTGACTACAAAATAACCGGGGACATCCTTCCACCTACTCCACAAATTATGAATAACGTAAAACGAAGAGCTGTACACTTAGGCCCCATTCAGACTGAGCAATTCGCAAATCGCGCGTTTGTTGCGCGATTTGCATTTTGTGCGATATCGCGCGTTTGTCGCGCAAATGCTTGCATTGAGCAAGCTAGAAGCGCGGCAAAATCCGCTCCAAAAAGGGACCTGCTGTAGCCGCACACGACCCGCGACAGCGACGGACAGAGCCCCATTGCCATGCATTGGAGAGCGATATCGCGCGGTAAATAGCTCAGTGTGAATGGGCTTCTTACCTCTGGCTGAGACCACACAGCACATTAAAAGGGGTCCTAGTCTGAGGCGTCCCCGGGGGAGGGGGGTCATCACACACACGCATAATTCCATCACCCGCACTTTACTGCCAGCGGCCATCCCGGTGATGGACGTCAGCAGAGAGGTCCCCATCTCTCTTGTACAGCCAGGTCCCCATCTCTCTTGTACAGCTGTCGAGTCCATGACCAAGTGCCCAACTTTTCAGAGGGGGTGACACCAGGGTGACTGAGTCATTTTGGTAAAGGATGGAAACTGGCACTCCAAAGCAAGTTCAGTACATGTTTATTAACGTACTGATTGCAAATAGAACACTCTGAACAACGTTTCGGGGTCTCACAGAATCCCCTTTCATCAGGCAAACAAGCGATTCATCAGAAGAGTTCATTTTGTTTTACATGCTCAGAGTTGTTCTTTAAATCCGATTGGCTGTGCTCCAGTTGAAACAAAATGTATCCTTATTAATGATGCTGGACGTCCTTCAGCCAGGAAGTAACTTCCCTGAAGGGGAGGCCGGAGGTCAGATACAAGACTGAAGGGGAGGCCGGAGGTCAGATACAAGACTGAAGGGAAGGCCGGAGGTCAGATACAAGACTGAAGGGGAGGACGGAGGTCAGATACAAGACTGAAGGGGAGGACGGAGGTCAGATACAAGACTGAAGGGGAGGACGGAGGTCAGATACAAGACTGAAGGGGAGGACGGAGGTCAGATACAAGACTGAAG